TATAATATGCAGGTGTGTGCGTACATTAGAAACTACAGACTGAAAACGTAATACGAATTGAATAAAAATTAAAAATTAAATACACGATGAAATAAAATAATAAAATATACACCTCACTAGGGCTCGAATTTTATTGGTATTGAAATGGATATAAATTAATAAGAAGTTAGGTATTTCTAAAATGGAAAATATCGAAAATATGTATACTTAAATACATAAAATAAAATATATTATTGTAGATCATCAAGTAGCCATACCTATATTTATAAGTTTTTGATTACGGTAAAATAAATAATTTTGTCTTATAGGTATCCAAACAATTATATTTTATATGCAATTACAAAATATTATAATACGCAGTTAAGTTAGAATGCAAGATTGCACATTAAAACTTGTAATATCACTTGAATTGAATACTTTTGTTATATTTGGTTTCTATAAAACTATATACCTAAAATTCATCAATCTTTTTATATATTGCTACAATTTTTCATTCTATATTATTGTACGTATGCATTTTACCTACAACATTATTGTTATATAAATTGGAGGCGTGTGCTAAGTTTTTCACAGATACGACAGAGATATATTTATTTTTATTTTTATGGGAGGGGCCTGTATCATCACCAGCTAGGTAGCTACCTCTTGAAACAACTGAATATCGATTTGGTACTTAGATTTTTTAATCAAATAATATTTGATTTTATAATTTTGGTACTGAGACAATAATATTACCTATATRACATGCATAAAAAAGTTATGTGAGAGTTTATTTTTCAACTATAAATGTGTCAATAATTTACTGAATTATTAAATGAAATTAACAAAACTACCTAACAAAATTTATTACAAAGATCGTCCAGACTAATGGTTTACATCAAGTCTATACTAACTCGTGATCTCCGTCCTCCGATATATTATTATAATATCTATCTAAGTAGTTTTTTTTATAAATTCACATCCTACACGTTCCAGCAAATACCTATATATGTTTATATGTTTAGTATGTAAATGTAAAATTAAAAAATTAACTTAAGTTATCGTATTTAAACAAAAATTAACAGTATAAAAATTATTTATTCTTAAAACATATTTTCAGGAGCACATTATTGAGAATAATAGCAACGTTATTATATCACTATCGTATCGTATCTACGTGTTTGTTAAAACTTATTTGCATTGTGTAGTACTCATTTATTGATGAAACAGTTTTTTTTTTACCTCTAACCATTAGCTGATATTTTCTATTCGCATTGTTTTATATCTTTTGACGATTGAATTCGGAGACCGAAAAAGTGAAATAATTCTTGACAACGGGCATACAAAAATACCTGAGTAAATAAAAATAAATTAAAATTCGTATCAGTTTATTTAAAATTAAATGGCTAATTTACCTCCAAAATATAGCTGATATTTTCAATATAGGTACCAATATTGTAATTTTATTCTTTGAGTTTTCATAATGTAACCTCTAAGTACCTATTGGTACGTCCTATTATATAATATTTTTTTTAAATCATAATTTCACCAGATATATTTTTTATTACGATAAAAAATTASTTACCTCGTATCTGCACAGGCAAACGAAACTTATGCGTATAGGTGATCAATGCGTACTACACACGCGTCTTATGTGGCTGCTACTCTAATTTTTCGGTGTTAGGTAGGTTCCAATATAATATTATATAGAATTTGTATGGTAATCAATCAATGGACGTTGACGAAAATTTTTTTTTTACACGTGGTATTTTTCGTGCTTGATCAGACGACGACGACGACTACGAAGATCACACCACCGGAGCAGCTGCGGGATTAGTGTCTTAAACTGTTGCACGATGATGGCATATGGTGGATTGTGGAATTTTTTTTTTTACCACTTAATATCGTTCACACCCATATATCAGATAAATATAAACCGGCTCAAAGTTTCCAGTCATTTATTGAGAATTTTAGATTATCGCCGCCCGCCCGTCAAATATCACACACAATATAACATAATTTTATTATTATTACTATTATTTTATATAGGTACATTATGTACATGTATAGGGGTAAGTATTTAACGCTTTATTATGTTATCTGATACAATATGTACAATATAATATGTTCTATATAGGTAGGTTTGCTGTACAACTACACTGATAATGGATAAATATTCCATCATGTTATATTATTATACCAATAGG